TGAGCATGACAGCTTTTGCGCGTTGACACCTATGATGAGGTCGCGTACTGTTCCGTGGAGTGTGTCGTATATGACGAGATCACCGTCTGAGTATGCTGCGGCAAGCAAAGTCTCGTCTCTAAGCGTGCTGAACTGAAGGCTCCATACAGTTGTGCTCCCATCCGAGACCTTCAGCGGCCCGTGAAGAGTGGAACCCGTTTCTTTATCGTAAAGATCATACACACGATCTCGTTCGTAGTCCCATAAAACTATGTCCTCTCCACGATAAACAATGGCCAAGATGCTTTGCTGGGGACAGAATACTGCCAGTGTTGGTTGTTTCGACTGCACGCTCGACTGCTCGTCGAAGTCGATCGTCCAGTCAGCCACGTCTTCTGGTACCCCACCATTGGCAAGGTTCCAGCACATGAGTTCATTCTTTTTGGTAGCTGCGAACAAAAGCATGTCTTCCTCGCTGAACGCGAGTGAAAGACACATGACTGGAATGGCGAAGCGGAAAACCTCAGTCCAATTCGTCACGTTCCATACTTTGATAGACTTTGCTCCAGCGGAAGCACAGGTTAGGCCAGTTTCGCTGAACGTCAGCGCCCAGACCGGCTCCCCATGTTGTAGTACAGTCTCTTCTTGACAAGTAACATCATCGTAGATCATGACCTTTCCGGTAGATAACCCAAGTCCGAAGAACCTTTGTGACGTAGCTACGGTGAGTGGTCGAGCCGGCTTGGTGTAGTTGAGAATTGCAAGACAATCTTGCCAGCCTTCGGTACTTTGTCCAAGAACGCTCAGTCCCCGGTGAGGTGACGAGAATTGTCGGCTAGGCGCTGAGTCTACTGGACAAAATGGTGGTATCAGGCGGTGTATTGCTGAAGGTGAAAACGACAGCTCTTTTCCAAACTTGGTGACAAGATGGGTAAGATCGTTGCCCCAACTGTATAGGACTGTTAACTCTTTTCTCAACCCGACAAGTGGGCTGTGTTGGGCCAATCTTCCCAGGAGGTTGTTCAAAGTCTTCCCCGCTTGGAAAACCTTTTCGAGATCGCCTTTCCGTGCGAGATATTCGATCCATTTGAGCACGCAGTCTGATCCCATAAACTTGCCCAATAGTGTAAGGACCTCGTTGTCACTGGAGGTTACATGGAATATGTGTTGGAAGACATACTCAGACGCATAGTCCATAAGGCGAGGCTTCTCCGGGAATTGGTCCACACTAAGCTTTCGAGGTTTAGTCGGCCGAGCTTGACTACGGGTCAGATAACGAAGGCAGACCAAAGCAAGGCGTTTGTGTGCAGTAGCGCGCTCGATCTGAAACTCTGATCTCATGCCTTGCCGAGTAAGGAAATCTCTGACAGTAAGATGAAGTAACTGGACCCTTTTGCTGCGATCTACATACACAAGATTTCCACAGCAAGTACTGATTGATCGTTCGATGTCATCGATTTTGTCGTGGATGTCGAGCTCGATAGCGCAATGCATCTCGTCGGTTGAGAGAAATCGAAAAGCAAACGTTGTCCACACAAGGATAGCCTTTGAAAGCTCTTTTCCGAACTTCGCATTTGCCATGTCGTTAAGTATCCGGCCATACATCTCGTCCATGTCGGCAGTGTTGCTGGAAAGTACTTTGCGGATCTCAGTAGACGTGTGTACCTGGCGCAGTTCCTTGAGTACAAGGGTAACCCATAGGAAGCATCCATTGGCATTCTTGAGAATCTCTTGGGACATCGCTTCGCGTTCTGCTGCCCCAGTGGCTGGCAGTTGATCTTGACATGAACGCAGGTACTGAGCGATGTCTTTGTTAGTATCTTCCTCTTGGATCGTTTCCGACATGACCTCAATTCTTTGAACAGCTCCATCGGCGTATCTGTCGAACGAGTCCCTTGACGTTATCAGGAGAGAGATCGGCCAAACTTCTTGCATCTTTGATAACAGCGTTACGAGTTCAGATCCTCCTTTGCATTCATCGACCGCGTCAATCACCCAGTACTGAGGCGTGTCCAAACGGCATTTCAACATGCCACTCAGGAATAAACGCCGCCATACGGCCACATGATCGGTCTTGTTTATTGCAGTAATCTGCGAGCTTGTCGAGATATCAAGAACGATACTCAAAAGGTGGGGGTGTTGACTGGCCATTTGCCACGCCATCGATCGGAGGAACGTATTGATCGTGGCTTTCGTTTTGTCACCCTGTACGAAGAAGTAGAAGGAACAGTCGAGACCTAATCCCCTCAAGTGATGAATGATGTGCGCCGAGAGAACACTCTTCCCAGCGCCAGGTCGACCACGTACCCACAAAGTTTTCGAATCTGCTGCGTTTCGCCACTCCTGAAATGTGTTTCTATCAAGAAACCAATCGCACGTTTCGGACAGTCGAATTGACTGGCTCTCTAGCTCGTCATCGGGGGTCTCGGTAACACTGAGGAAAGTACTGAGTGCTTCAATTTGCTCGAAACCTGCTGTCTGATTCGACAGTGCCTTGGGTGTTCTTTTACTCGCGATCGTAGTCGCTAAAGCGTTTCTGACAGCCAGATAGGACGGGTCCGTCTGCAGTGAGAACTTCGCCACATTGCGATGGTTCGCATTCAGATATGTCCTCCGCTCATTGGGGTAGTTCATAACTGCGCAGTGTTTTTCCACTATCATTTGTGTTCCGATGCCAATTTTCATGGGCTCAGTCTCATAGAAAGAAAACAAGCGTAGAGAGCTACTGTAGAGAGGGAAGTCTTCGTTGATCGACTGGAGCACTGGCGACTCCGGGGATAGATCCTGAACAAATGGCCTGGAACCCGGAGCCAGCGCGAGTATCCTACCAAGGGTATCTGCTATGCCAGCGCCTTGATGCGGTGTTGCCAAGAAGAATATAGCGAAGATATTGCGTACTAGACCCTCGAACTCCTTGTTTTGATGGCCAAGTACAAAGGCCTTTTTGATGACCAGACCGCCCATACTATGACCGATGAGTATCATCGGAACCTGACATGATCAGCATACTTCATGTAAAGGTGAGCAGGACGTACATGACCGCCAGACGGTATCCGTGGAGAGTCGTGTATTGAGGCTAGCAAAGACCGGGCAAAATCTGGAACGTGCAGAACTGACTCTTTGCTTAGGCCAGAAGCATAGCCAAAAGTATGAATCCTGACATCTTTGAACGCTTCGTCGTTTGGAAGCCAAGCAGAGGGCCAAAAGAGTGACGGGTTTCCGTTCTTCGCCCAAGTACTTTCGGAGCCACCATTCAGCCCATGCACGAAAATGATATCTGCGACAACTTCTTCTTCTGGATCGTGTAATGTGGTCAGACCGATGGCGCCCTTGGGGAAGTCTACACTGTCATCGGTGCGTCCTGTCTCCCTTCTTGTAAAGCTCCGCGAGAAGAACGATCCGTTCGATGCGCCCGAGGCTATGGATCCACGTTTGTGTGACGACTGCATCGTTTCGCGTTGCGATTACCCCGCCAACCGTGGCTCGGAGATTTTGATGACGAGATCTTTCTTCCGAGGGATATAAAGCAACATACCCATGCGATGAGTGGGCCTTGGATGATGGTGCGATGGGTACAAGGGACTTCAGTCATGAGGGCACAAAGTTTCTCAGTCGATGCGCAGCCTCTTGCGGAGCCCCGGCCAAATCTCCACGTCAGCGGCAATGTACTATCCCGATCCATGAACGTAGGAGTCGGGACGGGATGCTCGGCTAATGAGGGGAAGGTTGCTCGTAGAGGGCGCTCTGACCTGCAGCCAATGACGTGAAGCGATAAGCGGATCGCCTTGTACCACACGGTACCTCCAGTTACTAAGTTTCCAATACCGTGCTCTGTCGTTGTTTCCAACTGGACCACTACTATATGGATAGAGCCATGTAACCCGGGCGTAAAAACCATCGCTTCCTGGAATGCTTTCCTGTTGCTGCGTTACGAAAAGCGTCCATCAGGCTGAGAGACTGCATGTACGTGGGGGCCGTGCATACGGCGCGTAAGCTGTGCCGCATAGCAACGATTTATTGGATTGCGATTGGGCTCCGGTACCATCATGTGTTTTACCTATAACTAGGCGATGCATGGCGGAATGCCGTCTGCCTGATTCCCATTTTCTTTCTCTTCCGTGCAGCCGAGCCAGATCTCGAGATGACCGACTCTTCGATTTGGAACGAGGAAGTTGCCGTACCAAAAGCGGTGATCTCTTATGTCGATCCCAACGTAGAAGAGAGTGAGTATATCGCGTGCTTAGCAACCTTTGTTGGTGGTCGCCATTTACTGATCATGGCTCCAGAGCTTCCAAAAGGGTTGACCATCGAGGGTATTTCGTCTCATGGAGCATCGTACTGGACTCGGACAGCGCATATTCGTGCTCTAGACCAGAATGGAGAGGCCGTGTCGTATTTTCTCAAGGTAGACACCTGAAAGTCCAGAGCAAGTGCAGTTCTGATCAAACGTCGATAGGTGTCTCAGGGCGATGCTGGGAAAGGTATGATGTTTGGAGAATTCCACTCCATGTCTGCTATCCATGACGCTTTGCCTGAGATTGCGCCAAGACCGATTGCATGGGGCGAGTATGCGAACGAAGCCGACACGTACTTTTTCCTGTGTGATTTCCATGACATGACCGACGAAGTCCCCGATGTGTCCGATTTCCCTGAGATGGTCGCCAAACTACACAAGAAAGGAGTATCGCCGTCCGGAAAATTCGGGTTCCCAGTCCCAACGTTTCAGGGAAGGCTCCCACAGGATACCACAGAATGCGACACATGGGAGGAAAGCTTTTCGCGCAGCATTCGTCGTTTCTTCGAGCTTGAAGCGAACTCGCAAGGGTATGAGCAGGAGATGACGGAGTTGCGCGAGGCTATCATGGATAAGGTAATCCCAAAGCTGTTGCGTCCGCTTGAGTCCGAAGGCAGAAGCATCGTTCCTTGCTTGGTGCATGGTGACCTTTGGGATGGCAACACGTCCGTTGATGCCGCCACGGATCGGCCCGTGATCTTCGACGCATGCTCTTCATATGCCCATCATGAATGTAAGCCCTTCTACAGTATCTTGTTCAACCCAGCCTCCGCTGATTGAGACTGCGACACCAGATGAGTTGGCACCATGGCGACCTACCCGCCACAAAATCGGAAAACCTTACGTAACCGAGTATCTAAAGCACTACCCCATGTCAGAGCCGGCCAAAGACTTTGATGATCGGAATGCACTTTACTGCATGTATGTATCCAGGCATGTTAAACGCGTCTCGAAGCCTGGCTAAGCTTCTCACAGAAGGTTCAATCTTTGCTCGTCGGCGCTCTATCCGGGCAACCTTCGCTTCCGTAATATGTAAGGCAAATGCATGAAATGCTAGCAAGATCCGTTCGCTAATATCAACAGCGTCAAGGAGGAGATGAGGGCTCTTGTGGACAAGGTCGTTGGATAGATGGGAGCTGATGATGCAGAGGATGATTCGTGCGGCTCGACTGACCCAAGGGGCTCCTGCGTGGCGGGTGGTCAGTGCATAAAGGGCCGAATCTCGCGTGGGCGACGTGATGAGAACACCAGCTTCATAGCTCCCACAGTAACAGCCACGTCAAGCCATGTCACAATGCGATTCGTCATCGCGTCTCTCGTATATTCGAAAAACGGTCCTCTCATGAGACTTTGCATTCTATTTGACATATCTATGTAACGTGCAATCCGATCACACAGCGCAACGACTGGCAACACCCCCAGGGCCGTTCGGAAGGGACTTCTCGAGGTCTCACGGCAGAGCTGCGAACGTCAGCAGACATCGGCGGACGATGATGCAACGACCTTGATGCAATAATACGGCGGAACATCTCTGGTTGATTTCGATGCAGCATGCAGCCTATGATGCCCACCCGCGCATCGAAGCTGTTGGCGATGCTGCCTGGACACCGCGCCGCATAGGCACTACTGCGGCCATCAAGCTTGAGAAATGACGGCACAGATCTCTCGATGCTGCTAAAAGAGGACAGTGAGCTCACTCAGCTCACATCGGTGCCCGTGTTTTCTTTGCGCTACCTGTTTAGACTTCTATCGTTATTCACAGTCATGACCCTATCCTTCTATCTGTTCCTGGTATGCGCTTTGACCTGCTGGTCACAGTACGCAGCAGCTTACCACGCAACATCAATAGACACTCTCACCGTCGGTTTTGCACTCACGGTCGACCATGCAACTGCTACAATTCGCCACAACAGCACGTTCTTCGAGGACCTGCCCAAAGTCGAAGCTTCGGAGGAATACATCAAGTTGATGCAAAGGTTCTCGTTGTGGTCCTCTCAGCATCCTAGGTGTGTTCTCTTTTCGGACCATATGCTCAAGACAAAAAGCTGATTCCCACCCAAGCCCACCATATGCATCACTCGGTGACTTATGGAACGATATCCCTCGTCAAAGAGAACGAGACGCACGCAAGCAAAAAGGACTTCCTGCTTCCAATGACGTGGCTGTAATTGCGACATTGCTCAAAGCCATCAAAGACGTTGCTGAAGCATCTGTGGGCGCTTCTGTTTCCGCTCTAGTGAGCTTCCCTGCTTTGCCTGGCCTTTATCAGGAGGATATAGTCGATGCCGCCTATTACATCGGTCTTGAGAGACTAGCAAAAGGCCTCGCGCGTCATCCTCACGAACTCATCGCTGCATACGCGGGTCACGGATACGACCTGTGCAAGAGCTACAACCCCGTAAAACGATGCGTACCGGACGATGGAGGCAGTTTCACAACCCGTACTGTGCTGCTGGCTGAATACACGCAAACCGCACTGTTGTTGCACTTGGAGGGTCTGAATGGAGCAGTCGAACTGTCATGGCCGAACATGTACCTTGAACTGCAATTCGACCTAGGTAGCTCTCGGACGCCGGACGAGCAGGACGTTCGCAATAGCGTACTAAATTTTCTGTACCATCACTACAACGAGCGATTAGGGAGAGGACCACCGAACATGACCGTCATCTTGGTGGGTGATCCCGAGAGCGTCGGCGACGGCAAGGTGCAACGAGCAACGAAGATTGTGCTTGAAGCACTCGGGGCGCATGCCGAAGTTCTGGCTGAGAATTCAGCTCATGTAGCAGCAAGGGGAGCAGCGGAGATGGCGTGGCGAGCGCTGGATCACGACGAAAGAATGGAATTGTGACGTTCATGTATTGCGACGACCTACCATGAACGAGCCATTCCCGATTTCGAAGTCAAAACAGCATCAATCTATTTGAGCCATCTCAAACAAGAACTATTGCAAACTAAAGATATTGTGATGTTTGTACCAAGTGCATCTAGAAAGATCTAGTTGTCGAACAAATTCCGGAGCTGAGTATTGACCGCAAGTTTAGTACCGAAGCGCTATACAGTCACATCCAGATCGCGCCAATACAGTACGCATTTTGCGCAGCTCCGATGGAAAACAGGCGCAGAAACACTGCACAGCCTGAAGCAAGCCAGTCCCGCTCTTGCACTGAAACATCGGGGGCGAAGCACGCTCACCGATAGAACTGTGCCACATGGGCACATTGTCGTTGCCTGAAGACCTTCTCAAATGCTGTGATACCTCCAAATTCACGGAAGCGCAGCAGATACCCGCATGGCGAAGATGATTTCCCTTATCCTCGCATTCGCTCTGTCGCCCTTGCTAGTCGCATGCACTCAGACCATCATATCCCTAGACCAGACAACATTCAACCAGCCCACGGTCGGCTTCGCGCTGACCGTAGACCACATCGTCGCATCTGTTCGTTGGAACAATGTCTCAACAGAAGACTTGGTAGAGCTAAAAGCGCCCGAGGAATACATCGAACTCATGCGGCATTTCTCACACCCATCGTCTCAACACCCAAGGTATGGCGCCCATCGCAAGTAGCCTAGTAGCAATCTGAGCGACTACTAAGACCGGTAACAGCCCTCCATACCACAGTCTCAAGGACATTTTTGATGACTGGCCCCGCCAAGCAAAACGATCCATGCGAAAGAAACTCGGCCTCCCGGCATCGAGCGAAGTGGGCATCATAGCCAAGGCCCTGAAGCCCGTGATCGAAGTAGCCGAAACGTATGCTGGCTCCCCGCTGTCAGCCTTGATCAGCTTTCCGGCATTACCAGGTCTTTATCAAGAAGACATCGCGGATGCGGCGAGCTATGTCGGCCTCGCGAAGTTGGGCCCTTGGCTAGAAGCATCTCATCCACACGAAGACGTCGCCGCATACGCAGGAAACGGTCTGGGTCTCTGTAAAGACTACCACAACGAAGAGAAATGTCGTGAAGAGGGGAGGAACCTCACATCTCGCCATACGCTACTGGTCGAACACACTGAGTCCGCGCTTCTTCTACACCGCGACATCCTTCGGGAATCGATCGAGATATCGGACCCGTATATGGATCTTGCAACCTCATTCGACTTAGGTAGTGGTGGTGAGCCTGACGAACTGGACATACAAGATTTTGTCCTAAGTTTCTTGTATCACCAGTATTATTACCCGACGCCTCATCCTCCCGATTCAATTACTGTGATGATGACGGGTAGTCCCGAAAGTCTCAGCGATGGGAAAGCTCGGAGGGTTACGAAACGTGTCATCGAGGCGCTAGGCGCAAAAGCTGAAATGTTAGAAGAGAACCCTAGCTTCAAAGCTGCAAGAGGCGCAGCTGAGCTGGCATGGCGAGCGTTGAAGTTCAGTGAAGGTGAAGTTTATCGCACTTAGGTGTTCTATTGGGATCATTGACGTGGGTGCATTTCCGAGTCGTATCCTACGTAGTCTCTGGAATCTGAAATGGTGAAAGATCGAGATCTGTCGATCCACCTAGAATCAGTTGACTCATCAACTTCCCCGTGCCCGGTCCGAGTGTCAGTCCCCAAGACCCATGCCCCCAGCACAAAAACACATTACCACGTCTTCCATCTGCCTGAAGACCGCTATGATGCGAGAGTTTATCAGACTCGACCATAGCCATCATCGGGCGCCCCGAGCGCGTAACAGGTCGAAACGCCCGTCCAAGCGCAACAACCTCCAACTCCTCGAACGCATCCGGATCACCAGCGTTGTGGACGCGAAGAAAACGGTAGGCACGACCTGTGAGCTCCACAATCCTTGCAGCATCTGGTAGACCTCTCGAGCCTAATGGAGGTAGCGTGCCCTTGTGATCTTTTGCTCCGCAAACCCATATCGTGCCGTCGTTGCGACCTGCAAACTCCAACTTCTCTCCTACAATGTCGTTCAGGCCTACAAAAGCCACCGAGTTCTTTGCGACAGGATTCTGGTTTCGGAAGACGATCCAATCGCCTGCCTCTGTGGCTGAGTCGAGCTGGATTGGGGAGGAGGGGAATAGCGTTTTGTAGACCGCTGGGGTCCATGGGCCACCGGCCAGAACGAAGTTGTCGCATGGGATTCTGACTGAGGATGAGTCTTCTCGAACAACGATTACTGCGGTGGCTCGATTTCCTTGGTCCAACTCGACAGCAGTGACTCTTGTAGATGTCTGAATGCGCACACCCATATCGACGCATGCTCTTTCAAGCCATTTGCCGAGGCCGACTGGGTTACTGCAACGAAGTTGATCAGCATGACAAGGTGATGCATGTACAACAAGCATGCTTACACCATCGCGTTGTTTATCCCCAAGGATTCGGTGTCCACCCCCCACGCATCGCTCGTTCGAAGCCAATCCGGCAAAAGCTCTTGACCATCTCCATCGTTCTTGGTCAACCCGAAGATGGAATGGAAGCGGAGTCCAGCAGTATCACACATATCGTTGGTCTCTGCCAAATCACGCCAGGCTGTGAAGCTGTACTTTCCGAACTCATCCATGATCTCATCATTGAATTTGTGGTGAATGCATCCTGTGCAGGTTCCGGATGTCTCTCCGAATGCGCTCGCTGATGCATCTATGACGATGATGGTATTGTTGTTCGAGTAACCGGTTCGACGATTTGCGTGCGCGAGATGATAGGCAGTCCACAGGCCAATGGATCCCGCGCCTACGATGACGGTGGTCTTGTTGTCCGCGGACATATCGTCAACCTCGCCGGAGGTGAACGAGGGTGTTGAGACGATGCTCGATCTTTCAGGAATGTCTCCGCCGGTGGGGTCAAGGGCGGGGTCGATGAACTCTACTGACTCCTGGCTCTTGGGTTTAGTGCACGTGGGGTGATAACGGGTAGCTTGTATAACTAAGCGAAAGGAAAGCTGAAAGGGTGGCGAAGGTCGTTATTGAGGTCGAGGTTCGGGGATGATTGAGGAATGAGAATATGGAGTCTTGAGAATGCAGTGTGCAAGGGTAAAGTAGTCGTTTGTTCGATAGCTCCAAAGGGGGTACCCTCAGCAAATCCGCGTCGCCGGATCATGATTATAATCAAACGCCTTCAGCAGCGCCACCAGATGCAGCGCCGCACCCCCCACAGCACAAAGATGAAAGATTTGATGTGAGCAACCCCAGATATCGAAAAGTCCCGGGCGAAATCTCTCCGGAAAGCGGATCTGTGAAGAAGCGTTAGCAACAATGCAACCTGAGAATCCACCTTCTCTTTCATACTCACCGCATAGATAAAAGCCCCCGTAATATAAAACAAGCCCTCAAAAATCATCAACCGCCACCCCATCTGCCTGTCCGCCTGCTCCTTGCCAAACGCCTGAGCCGCATGCGTCATCGGCACCGCACCCGACCAGCCAATCGCACAAAACAGCGTCGCCCTCGCCCATCTCCATTTCGGGGTCCGGAATCTAGGAATCGAACAGAGCGTTGCCGCACCCGTAACAATGGAAGTAATCCCAGCCGAATACAACACCCAGTACTGTTTCTGACAGTAAAACCCATAGTACGTCCCCGAATACACCGTGCCTACGATCAGCACGAAGATGCCGTAAAGGTCTAATTGCAACCATGTATGATACACTTTACTGCTGTGATTCCCAAACATGTGGAACGTAGCACTAACACCAAAACACACGACCGCACTACCCACAAACACCCCAAAAGCCAGTAGGTCGTTGATATCAGCAGTCTCGTAACGACTGCTAATATTGCTGTAAGCGTAGATGGCGTAGAAGAGGATAAAGACAGCGCCGATGAGATGCGTATAAATATTCCCAGTCTGGTTGTGCAGATACGACAAGCTCTTCAAACATTCGCGGTAAGAATTCGTGGTGCAACGATAATGGTTCTTGAGGTACTCGTTGTCGCGTTGCCAAGGGTGGACTTCTTGGAAGGTGTAGAGTGTGCGGCTTGGCGCTGGGGGCGCGGAGACGGAGCGTTTGGTTGGGGTGTTTGTTGTGAGGGGGGTTAGGTAGGTTGTTGACATTTTGGCGGCGGGGTGGAGAGACGAGGACGTTGATTGGGAGTTTGCTTCCTGGAGTTCACAGGTCGGGTTGATCAAGGAGATAAAGAGAAAGGAGACAAGAAAGGCGTAAATGAGGAACCGTCAACGAGGGCGATGCGCATCCTTGTACTCGTATGTCCACCTCTTGCGTCTGCTCGCAATTAAAGCAAAGACCTCAGTCAACACCTGTCGTTCGGTCAAATCAAAATAATCCACAAAGTCGCTCTATCGTGTGAAGTCCCCAAACAAGAAACAGCGAGCTCCCACGGTACTTAAAGGGACACCTGTGGCTCGGGCCCATCCAGACCCCCCTTGACAGGTACATAAGCCTTGTGGCAGTGCAACCGCACCGGGCGGAACGGCATAATGAACCACCAAGCGTCCCCTCAAAGGAGCAGGAGAGAACCTGGAACTGGGAAAGCGGGTACCTACGTAGCAGATAACACATGTGTGTGGGCTAGATCAAAAGGGGGTACACGTGGGGACATGCCGAGGCGCGTTTGATTGGCGGAGCCACGCGTCCCTGTCAGCACCGACAATGGCACAAGCCAGCAACTTCATTTCAGAAAAAGAACAAGCAAATGATAATTTCTCAACAGCGTGCAATAAAAAGATCCAACGACATTTAGAAATGAGTATATTCGTGCATAAACGTAGACATGACATTTTGTGGTAAAGGAGGGGTATATAACCAGAGTATCGCATCGCATCGCATCGCCTAGTGTCGTATATCGTATATCGTATCGTATCGCGTAACATTCCGTAATATGTACTCGAACAAGAAGAAGAAGAGCAGGAGAGCGACGTTACACTCATCAATCAGAGTGCCAGTCACTCGCCTGGCTCTCTCCAAACTCGCTCCTATAGCGCCTACACAACCAAAAAGTCAACACACCAGCACTCGAACAAGATAGGAACAGCGGCAACAGAAAGAGCACTGGTGACAGCGAGACACAAAGCAAATCGCACTTACTCATCCCTTCCGCCCCCGTTTTCACTGCTCTCGCCTTGCATGCCCAGTTTGCTTGCGTCCAGCTTCGCCAATCCACTCTCGCCGAGTGTATCTCCGCCCCAGCCTTCCTTCTTGCCCTCGATGAGCATCTTCATCATGTCCTTAAGTTCGCTGACTTCTTTCCTCAACTGCCTGACTTCCAACACCGCAGTGTCGAACTCGACGTTGGGACGCGAAGCCTGCACCTTCTTGTCCCAGCCGTCGGCTTCAAAGTCACAGCCGTCGAGGACTTGTTCCCACTCCATGGTTGTGTCTTCGTCGTCTTCGCCGCGGCGGCGGTTGTCTCGGACGACCCAGGCTTCTTGTTGTTCGAACATGGCGGTGATGACGAGGAGGGGTGAGTAGATTACTGCCATGACCTATTTGGTGTCAGCTTTCTGTGCAACTAGATCGTTCTGGGTATGGATTGTGAAAGAATACTGTAATCAGTACTAGGTGATAATTGTCTCATAGCCGAAGCTCTGAAGTAGCAAATACATAGAAATCATCATATAAACAGCGGGAAAGAGTACTTGTGCGAGGGGGAAGGACGTACCATATCGTTGAGCTTGTCGTAGCGCTTCTCGTCCATCCACCACTCGAATGGAAGGATCAAGAAGAACATCTCGATGAGGTTGAACGGAGCGATGAAGACGTTCTCGTCGGGAGCACGAACGAACTGCATCGTCTTCTGCGAGAAGAGAGCCATGTACTCGTCGATGGCGTTCTGTGTGATGTCTTCGTAGGCGGAGTTGTAGAGAGCGATGAGGACGTTGAGCAGGATAACCATGACGACGAAGGTGAAGATGTAGTAGAGAATAATACCGAAGGGAGGCTGTTATTTGTTAGCTCGTGTCTGAGTTTGGTGCCATACAATGTGACATACCGAGAAGTTGTCGAAGCCTTCAAACTCGGGCGATTGCATGACAGCGTTCAACATGGCTTGGAACACGAAGACAGTGTCGTTAGCAAGCTGATCATCCGCGATATCCAGACCGATGAAGGCCTGGAAGAAACCAATCATGACAACAAGGAGTAGCATGAAGAAGATGAGCGACTCGCGCATCATAACCTTGAGCACAACAAGCATGGCACCGAAGAAGCGGAAGGTGTCGAGGTACAGCAGCAGACGCATCCAGAACATAGGCGCAGTGAAAGCCAAGAAGTCGTAGCTCATCTTGTTCAGATACTGGCGCCGTGTGTCCTTCTCGTCGCTGATAGGATGTCCAAGAGCCACCATGCGCAAGACGAAGCTGACCGTGAGAAGCGAATACAGAGTGCTGTTGAACATGTTCCAGAAGGAGATGTAGAAGCGTCCGACCTTCCAGAACTTGTTCGCCTCGTCGCAGATGAATCCCAGAGTGAAGAGGTACAGCAGACCTTCGACGACATCCAGGTCACCAGAGGGGTTGATGGTGTTGATAGCACCGGTGTAGAGACCCAAGAAGATGATGGACACGGCAATCTGCACCCAGTTCTGGTACTTGGGGACGCGCATACGATCGGGGTCGAGATGGGCCCAGTAGCTGGTGTTGGTCTTGTTCTCGTATGTGACGAAGCGGCTGGGGTCCTCGTCGTCCTGGACTACCCAACCGCGCCACAGGTAGTTGATGCACTTTTGGTAGCCGGACGATCCGATGACGGTTACGGCGTGAAGGTCGACAGCCTTCTCGACGGCATTGGCGGGTGTGGTTGGCTCTCCGTCGATCAGAGTCGAGTAGCGCTTGAGCAGCACCTCCTCGAACAGATATGTGGTATCCTCTTCGGCCTCAATCAGGCGCTTGGCCATGATCTCTGCCGCCACGGCGCGGACTTCGTGGAGGTCGGCATCCCACAGCTCTGCGGTAGCTTGTTTCTTAAACCACTTCTTCACCTGCAGCAGGCAGAAGACCACGCAGGCATTGTGTTCAGGAGCTCCTGCTTGTTTGGCCGTCTCTAGCACCTTGTCGGTGATGATGCTGCTATGCGCCTTGGTGATCTGCTCCTCTTCGAGCTCGCACGGTACAACTTGCTCGATCTGATGCTTTAATCGCAGAGCGACTATGGTAACGTCTTTCGGATCGATAGGCGGAGGAGGAAGGTGTTCGCGACGCGACGTGGGAAGAACTGGGAGGTGTTAGTACTGGGATTGATAGGAATGATAAGAGGACCTACGCGCGCTCATCTCATCCTGCACTCTGTGTCGCCTATCGCCATCTCCACTGAATAGCTCGTTCCACCGCACCATAGCTGCGGCGTTGCTGTAAGCGCTATGTCTCGTGCAGGTCAGTCAAGCTTCACGAGAGCTATGTCGAGCTCTGGAAGTGCCCAGCAGCGAAATACCGAGGTAGCGTCAGGCTTGGAAAAGCAAAACTGCGCAACACAACAAGACGCACACTGAGCAGAGTATCTCAGCAAAGAAGGAGCTGCGGTGACAGCGCGACAACAAAGCAGCAGGACCCACGATAGACCGGGTTCTCGAGGCTAGTGTTGGCTAAAACCTGGCTGACAACGCTGGGCGCGCTCCACCAGTCCAGCCAGCGTCATCCCGCTCCACCCTGCGAATGGCCCAAGCTCTCTCCTGCTGCCGAATTAATCCCAAGCCGTTGCATGCGAGACCACCATTGAGACATGGAACTTGAGTGCATATTCATTGTTGATTTGCTGCTGAGTCCGCTTGTTCTAACACTCCCTCTATGCGCAAACGCATATATGCATGTGGCTGAAGACAAGGTGCTGTACATGTCGAGACGCCTTTGCATGCATGCTCGTGAACCACCATATCGACGCCTCAAACGCCCATGCCCACTTTTTGCAGATACCCTTGGTCTTCATTATCATCGTTGCTCGTATGCAAATATTCTCCCAGCCGCTTAATCGGCCTCAGCAACACCGCCCTCATCGCTCGTGCTCTCGTCCTCGTCACCGCTGACTTCCTGGTTCTCGCGCTCACGCTTCTCCATGAGCGCGGCCAGCTCGGCGTCGTCGTTCTCGGTGACGGCCTTGGGTGCCATCTTGACCTGGCAGTCGCCTCCGGCCTTTGAAATGTTCTCCTTGATGTCGACGATGGCTTGTTCGAGGCATGCGATACCGGCGCTCTTGTCGAGACATTGCGAGGTGAGGACTGCAGGAGTTAGTTGAGAATGGGGATGTATGCAGCGCGATCACGTACCGTAAAGAGGCGGCGATACGAGCTTGACTTTGACCTGGTTCTCGGGGGTGTTCTTGGCCTCGGCGCATCGCAGGGCGGTCTTGACGGCATCGATACCCTCGTATCCGAAGCAGGTGACTACAGACGTTAGTAAATGCATCCACATGGCTTATACTCCTCCAACATACCCTCAATGTCTGACCGGACCTTGGTCGGCTGGGGTGTCAACCGCTTGCCAATGTAGCTCTGCAACTCCTCCTTGACAACGTCGTTGGGGAATGTGACATCGTTCCAGACCTCGGGGTTCGTAATGCTGAGCTTGAAGGCATCGATCGAGTGTCCGTACTTCTTGTTCAGCGGCCAGCCGATGGTCTGGTAGATCTCCTCGATAGGTGTCTGCGTCTTCTCGGCGACGTGGCGCATGATGCTGTGCACCATCTTTGACTTGTTGTATCGCTCCTCGCACTTGACGATATCCTCAGGCGACACTCGGCGCTTGGACAGATCAATGTAACCCTTGTCCTTGTCTACACGAAGCACGACGACGACTTCGTTGCGGCCAACTCGGATGAGCTTCTGGATGGATCGAATACGTCTTCGCGAGAGTTCGGAAAGCAGAATCATGCCGTCGATGTTGTCTGAATGGTTAGCCTTGCTGCCCATGCCTGTGCTACGTCCTCAACCCACCATATTCCAGCAGCTTGACGTATGCGCCCATCTCGGCGATCTGCTTCACGTTGACCATGACGAAGCTCTCCACCTCCGGGTACTTCTCCTCGTAGAATCGGCAATTCGTTAGAGACATGGTGAATGTGTGCTCCTGCTCTTCTCCTGTGTGGTGTTGGGTAACGTCGCTCGACT